ATTTCTGCTGTTGGTTCTCCAGAACTGGTCAGAACTTTCTGAATACCACCTCTGAATTTGGCATGTTAATGTATTCTCAATATTATTTCACAAGCAATTAGAAGGAAGGAAAGAAAGAAAATGAAAATATTATTTCAGGAGAATAAGTAATTCATTGTTAGTGTTTTATTTATTAGAATGCAGGTGGATATCTCTGGGGTCATAATTTTTTCACTTTGTCAATTTGTTTTAAAATCTATGGTAAGTGATATTGATAACTGCCTGGGCATTCAGAATACACATGTTTGCTATGACTTGCAACAGCTTCATTATAAAGCAGTTTGCCCTCAGAAGTTATGGGAGTGCCATCACTTGAGACTTTCAAGAAGAGATTGGACCTCAATTTGTCAGAAATGGTGTAGGGTCTCCCACTTGGGCAGGGGCTTGGACTAGATGACCTACAAGGTCCATTCCAATTCTGATTATCTGTTTGTTTGATCAGGTTTGAGTTGAATTTTATGAATATATATGACAATGTATTTTTTTTACTGAAAAAATATGGAATTATAGTTCTTCCTTATCTCATTAACTGCTTTTTATCATTCAGATCTGTCCTTAGTAGAATAACAAAGCATTTGGGGAAAAAGATGCAACCCACTAACCCTGCACTGGAAGAGAGAATAGAAAAGATCTCCACAGCCACCATATATTTCCCCTTGGTACTCAGATAGGTTGGCAAAAAGGACAACCAGGCACTGCAAAAATACAACAGGCTAAAGGAGATAAACTTGGTCTCATTCAAACTGTCTGGTAAATGCCGTGCTTGGAAAGCCACACTGAAGCCAACAATGGCAAGGAAAAGCAGGTAGAATAAGACACAGTAAAACATGACAGTAGAACCTTCGCTACTTCCCAGAATGATTTCATCTGACACTAGGTTCATATCAGCAGCTGAGTATGGGGGTGAGATTATAAGCCATACAATGTAAACAACTTGAATGAAGAAACAGGAAACAACAATGTAATTATCTAATTGTTTGCCCAGCCATCTCCTCATCTTGGATCCTGGCACTGAAGCCATGAAAGCTAAAATCACAGTGATGGTTTTGGCCAATATACATGAAATGGCTACTGAGAAGACAATCCCAAAATCAGTTTGTCGCAAAAGGCAGCTCACCATTTTAGGCTTTCCAATGAATAATAAACTGCAAAGGAATGAGAGCACAAGGGAGATGAGAAGAAGGTAGGTGATGTTCCGGTTATTGGCCTTGACTATGGGAGTGTCCTGGTATTTGATGAGGATCCCAAACACTGCAGTGGCAATGCAAGCAAAGACAATTGCTGTAGTGGCCAAACTGGTCCCTAATGGGTCTTCATATGACAGAAAAACTATGCGCTTTGGAAGGCATGAATCATGGTTGTTGTTTGGATATTGTCCTTCTGGGCATAGTATGCAATCATCCATATCTACAGAAGAAAATGTTGTTATTGCATGTAGAAGATTCTGCATTAATTAAGATATTAATAGAAGTAAGTGGTGTACTACTTATTAATGCTTCAATTGGAGGCTCCCATGATATTTATAAAGCTGTTGGGTAGACTGAAGGCACCAATAAATCACTTCTGTAATACAGCCAAGGAAACTATATAGAATTGTACTCAATTTAAATTGACATTTACTTTTATCCCTCTTTGATGCAAAATTGGACTAATGTTGTAATTGTTGTAGTTCTTATGATAAAGTTTAGCAGATTAATATAGAACTGTCTTTATAGCCATAGATTTAAGAAGCAAAGAGATCATATAAATTAAAATGTATATGTAATGGAAGACAGTCAATATCCAAGCAAATTCAATTTAAATATAGCAATACTTCCCATGTTTATTGAGGTAAACCCTTCATTCTAAAAACCAGTTGTTTATAGAATCTTTTCCTCCCCCCCCCAAAAAAAAAATAAATATCTTTGGACCTTTAGTTGTTGGTGCAGTAGTTAGAATACTGTATGGCTAACTCTGCAGGCTAACTCTACCCATTGCCTGAAGTTCAATTCTGACAGGACTCAATATTGACTGGAAAGATAATTGGAAAGTGGACAGGAAATTGTTTTGCTCATCTAACTAGACCTTATCTTTATCTTCTCTATAGAACTGGAATTTCTTTTCCTGAAATGTTTGCTTCTATACAGCTTATGCTGTTTATTTTACCTTTCTCACTTGCCATCTTCCCTTCTGGTCATGGTATGCACTTATAGCAGCAAAATGGCTTTCCTTCAATTTCACTCCTACTTGAACCTGAAGCACAATAGTCATTACACATGGAATGTGGTCTTTTCTGTAAATAGATGAATAAAATGAGGACTCAATCTGCTGTTTTTGAGATACTATGACCAGTGGTGGGATTCAAAAAAATTTACTACCGGCCCTTTGGTCATGGCTTGGTGGGTGTGGCAGGGGAAGGATACTGCAAAATCCCCATTCCCTCCCCACCCCACTAACTTGCTTTCCAGCTTTGTTCTCGTGTGCAGGGCAACAAAAGATTCAGCCAATCAGGAGGCAGAGAATAGATGGGGGCAGGGTCAGTCAGAAGTGGTATTCCAAACTACTCAAAATTTCTGCTACTGGTTTTCCAAACTATTCAAAATTTCCGCTACCAGTTCTCCAGAACTGGTCAGAACCTGCTGAATACCACCTCTGACTATGACCATGTTCTTTCAAATAAACTTCACTCAAAGCATTTTTTTTAAATGTTTCTTTCATTAGATTGTATAGACCTATGGAAAAAAATTCCATGGTTTTATTTTTTGCTTTTTTAATTAATTAATCAATTAATTTCTTAAAAGACATGAAGGTTTAATGTATAAATTTTTATTTACTTTTAAGTGCTTTTGGTTACCATATAATCAGCTCTTCTTTTAATTATTATTATTTATTTCCAATATATCCTAGCAAAAGTAAGTTTAATTTTACTGATGTAATACTTTATTGGCAACTATTCCTATAAGAAAGGTAGTGGATCAAATCCAAATACTATAAGTCATCAAATATGTTATTTTGATTTTGTGCTAGGATTATAATAAGCAATATGATAAGGACTTGGGAACCAAATTTGATTATTTTGCTCTATCCAAAACAGAAATTTTTAGCAACTAAACCCACTTCATTAAGCTAGCAAAATATTTAAATCAAATAAACTTCTCAATATCATAAATCACAAACATTAAGGTTTTTACTACTCTCTTGCCCATCTGGGCCATTTTGCCAGTGCTTCAGGAAAAAACAAAAGTCAAAAAGATCACGAGATATTGGATAATGAGAAAATATTTCAATAAAATGGGAAAATATATACAGGGAAAATAGTAATATACATACTAATAGAAAATATAATAATATAATCCAAATAAGTCAAGACAGTAGATGGGAATTTAGGATTAGGTAACCAAACTGTATTATTAATATTAATAATGTGCTAAAGTACATTATGAATTTAAAATAATTAAGGACTAGGAACTGTGTGGGATTTTGAGATATAGTCTCGGGATTGACTAAATATTGTCAATATTTAGCATTATTAGCACTAACCCTACACATTAGCATTAACTATACATATTTGGAATATTCAAGTTATGGTGGTACTATGAGTAATTTTTAGAAAATATTAAACAATAGTATTTAGGGACTATAAATACAAGGCACAAAGAAATGTTATTTATGTTTAAATGAATTAATGGGAAAATGAGAAATGGATTATGAAAAGATATTGGCCTTGTTGAAGTTGCTGAAGTTGGAAGATTAGAACTACATAAACCTATTTGTATTATTGTTGCTTAAAAAAGACTTGACCGAGTTAATGCAATGTTCATAAAATATGTATGTTTATATTGAAAAAAAAAACCTCTTATTTGAAAAAGGTCACCAATAATCTGTCATCTAGTTGAACACAAATCAAAAGAGTACATCCTAATTCAAAACACAAGTCAACAATTTTCAAATATTCAGAATGTAGATTAAAATATCTCAGATCTGTATGCACCTGATAAAATCTTGTGGGCCATTTAATAGAATCATCATCAATGCGGAGTGATTTAGAAGAGGAAGGGTCTGGGTCTATCCATCCAACTTTGATTTTTGTGAATGTGTTATTTGAATATGTGACCCAGTTGAAAAGATTGAATCCAGCAATTATATGTCCCTTGTTATCAAAAGGAAATATTTTCACCAGCATAGTTTTTAAAGAAAGTACTTCTTATAAACCTGTGGAACTAAATAGAGCGAAAAGTTGAGAGAAAATGATAAGATGAGACACTGTCTTGAAAACTTTGGGTACTGGTCTAGAAAAAAAATACATTGTTGCAGAGATCAATATTAAATATTCAAGATACTCTAATAGCACTAATTTCAGTTCAAAAAAGGGAAGGAGAAGGAGAAGGAAAAGGAGAAGATAGTGAACTGTTGTGGCTGCATGATAACATTAACAAGGAACGCTGAGGTGACACATTTGAACAAGTGGTATCTTTAATGTGGCCCAGATTCATCTGTTTAGGACTGTCTATTCTCTTTCTTTTCTTTAAAAAAATTATGCTCCATTTTTTTTATTTATTTGTATATCACTTTTATTATTTGACCAAACAACTCAAGGAGGTGAACATATCCAACACACTTTCCTTTTTCTATTTTTCCTACAACAATAACTCTGTGAAGTGGGTTGGGCAGAGAGAGAGTGTGTGTGACTGACCCAAGGCTACCCAGCTGGCTTTTGTGGATAAGGTGGGACTTGAACTCATGGTCTCTTTCTTTCTAGTCTGGTGCCTTAACCACTAGACCAAACTGGCTCTATTCCCTCAAATTGATGTGAGGCAAATTTTGTATTAATACACCCATCCATAGTACAGAAAATTAGCAGAAGGAAAAATGCCTCTGAAGCTCTATTTCTTTATAGTATTATAAAAACATGCACAAGCAGAAAAATTATTTAGGAGAAAGAAATGTTGACTGAAATTCTACTATATTGTTTTGCAAAATACCTGCCATGGCTCCTGATTTAATCGATCTTGTGCTCTCTCTTTCAACTTCGATCTCTGTTTTGTCTTGGATGAAGTTATTTCTTGCAAAGCATGAGCCATAATGTATACTGCATTGTAGATGCTATAACTGTGACCAGACATGCTTGTATCAAAGAGGGTCAAAGGTAGATTCTCCAACTTTTCCTCCCCAGTGCAGATCATCTCATCTTTCTCTTCTAGAGGGGAATTTGAGAAATCACAATTAAATGCATCTTTCCACAAGACTCTGATAAAGTCATCCCTATTTTCTGAAACAGGATTTCTTTTCTGCAGAAACTTCTGGAATCCTTTAGGATAATTTGTGTGAATTGCAAAGGACAGAGCTCCATGGAGGCAATGTATGTCCCAATCTTTTAGAAAACCAGGAGAAGCAAAATCCATCTGGGCTGTCATGATCCACACTCGGTTTTCAACTGCTATATCATAAAACTGTGCAAAGTGGAAAATTGATCTTAATACACTAATAGTATGCAGTTCACCTTGTATAATAACAGTATTGGCAGCACTTCCTGTGACAAGACATGAAGTTGAAAACCATTCCACTGCTGCTTCAGCAACATCACCTGAAAAGGACATTTGGGGCATTGTTTCTTAGAAGTCCACACAAATGCCATGCTGAGAATAAACGGGAAGTATATTCTGCTTAAATATTTCTCCATTGTCATCATTATATGTTACTACACTAATCCAGATCCACTTGAAATGCATCAGCAACTCTAGGATTCCCATATATTGATGGGTCCCATTTGGAAACATCTGATGGAAGAAATCTTCTTTTGTTTTGTCTTCTATTATTGGAGATGACCCGTAAATGATTTTAGGATGGAAATACACGGGAGAAGGCGAGACATAATGACAATCAATCTTATGATAGATTCAGTTGAAAGGTAAGGCACCAGAGGGGGTATTCAGCAGGTTCTCACCAGGTCTGGAGAACCAGTAGCAGAAATTTGGAGTAGTTCGGAGAACTGGCAAATACTACCTCTGACTGAAGATTTTACACTAGCCTTCCCCTGCCAAGTCCACCAAGCCATGCCCACAGAACAAGTAGTAAAAACAATTTGAATCCCACCACTGTAAAGCACTTGTGATGACCCAGGGCATAGCACAAAGGGAACATAGTCAGATAATCAGTAAGAGTCTGTTTATTAGCTCCAACTTTGCCCCCAATGTCCTGGTAATCTTCTGGCTGGAGAAAAACTATCCCAGGAACAGCTTTTGGCTGCAGAGAATCAAGTCCAAAATGTGGTCAACAAAAACTGAAAGTATAAGTCCAATCAGGACAAAATGAGGTAATTAGTCCAGCAGGGCAGGAGATACAATTCCAGATGTGAAGGTATGGCAATGGCTTCCACATGGTTGGGAAGATGCCAGGAACAAAGATAACTAAAGTCAACACAAAATAAACTCACATTTGCTCCGAGAAGCTGCTGCACACAGCATTAATTTCTTTTAAACTCTCATTTCCAGATGTGGCTAATGAAGGGAATCAGGGCTCTTTCCACCCCTGTAAGCCATGCAATCCACATTGCTCTCTTCTCTGTTCCTCCCTGCATGCCCTGGGATGAAGGGGTGGGTGGGTCTGAGTCCAATGAACTCCTTCTCCCTTATTCTATCTCTCTTCTGCTCTACCCAGCTGGTCTTCGCCCTTCCCCAGTTTCCTCCACAGCCAACAGAGCCACTCAGGGGTGGGATTCTACCAGTTTGCACCTATTCACTAGAACCAGTTGTTAAGATTCTAAGCAGTTTGGAGAACCAGTTGTTAGAAGAAATTACTGGCCTAATCCTGTAAGGAAGGCAGGAAGAAAACATACTGGTATTGCTTACAGAAACTGCCACTCCATTAACCCTTATTACATTCTTAGCAGGACTAGAATTCCTGTCTCAAGAACTTATCTGGAGTTTTTTTCCCTCCTTTGCTGGTATTTTGTTTGTGTGGAGTGACCATTCAAAGTTACAAGGGCACCCCTGTTGAGGTAATTCCCTGTTAGGAGAATGAGCACATACAGGGAGACGTACAGAGAGTAGTGTTGGAATAATACACAAACAGCACACAGATACACTGTACAGTATATGTATGTTTTTACTTCCAGAAAGGTTTAAGCAAAGTCCAAAATAAGCAGTCCAAAAGTCATTCACAGGTAAAAGTCATTCATCAGTCAGTTTTCACCCAGGGATAATCCAAACATCAAATTCCAGTGTCAAAAACAGTTCAGTAATAGACTTACATTAAATGCAGTAATATCAGTCAATTAGAAGAAATGGAACAACGGCATTACTTTCCAACAGAAGGAAACAGAGATAGAGACACACTGTCTTCTGAGATTAAGACTAAACAACCCAGGTTTCTGGCTCCATCTTATGGCCCTTTGAGAAACCACACCTAATTACAATTTTAGCATTCCCTTAAAGTGACAGTATTAAAATGTCTATCCTGGTTTATATATTTCCAACCCAAATAGCTGTTAGGTGACTTACATTCCTAACATTCTCCCCTTTTGGGTAAGATAATATATACAACCTTACATTCTAATTCCATAATCTTCACAGCATGCCTTATGCTTTATAGAGCCTTGGGCCTTTGTAAAATGATCTGCTATATTGTTTTCTGACATACAGTATTCTAGCTTAATCATCTTACTTTGCACACATTGTCTCACATTTAAATATCTTAAATCTGTGTGTTTCGTTCTTGTTTTAACAGCAATATTTGAAACCATCTGTATTGCTGATTGGTTATCTTTGTAAATAACAATAGGATCTGTTACATTAATTCCCATATCAATTAACAATTGCTTATACAAAACTAAATCTGTATATAATAAAGACAAACATGAGAATTCAGCCTCCATTGTTGATAAACTTAGATGTTTCTGTCTAATAGATCTCCATCCAATCAATGCTTTTCCAAATAATACAGCAGTACCTGATGTAGATTTTCGTGTATTTATGTCTGTAGCAAAACTTGCATCAGCATATGCAGTTAAATTCAATTCATCTTTTGCTCCAAATACAATGCATAGTGCATTGTTTGTTTCAGATATCTTAACACATTTTTAGCAGCTTGCCAGTGCCTTTCAGTTGGCTCAGCATTAAATTTCGCTAATTGGTTAACACTGTATGCAATATCTGGCCTTGACCAATTACAGAGATAAGATAAACTACCAATCAAAGACTGATAAATGTTCTTATCAAAAATAGGACTTTGTACATCAGTATGGCTAAACTCCTGGCTCATTGGTGTCTTAGCTGGTTTACAAAGTTCCATTTTAAAACTTTTTAGTAATTGGTTAATTTTATCTGCTTGTGAGATCTTGTATCCTCCCCTAGTTCTATCTACGTTTAAACCAAGATAATGTTTGATTTCTCCTAACTGTTTTATCTTAAATTTATGTTTCAATAGTGAAATTATCTCAGTAGCTTCTTGTTCAAATTTTGGTGATTAATGCTATATCATCAGTAAATAATAGCAATAATGACACTATACCATTACTTTCAGTTTTAAACAAACATGGATCAGCCATGCCAGCTACAAAGCTTATCTTAGTTAATTCTTTAACTATACATTGGTTCCACTCATATCCTGATTGCTTTAAACCATAAAGACTCATTTTCAATTTCCAGCAATCATTATTATCAATATTATCATTTTTGAGACCTAAAGGTTTCTTTAAATATATAGTGTGTTGCAACAGTGCATGCAGATAAGCTGTCTCTACATCCAAATGATTTACAATGTATTTCTCCTTAGCTGCCCACACTAATGCTGCTCTTAATGTAGTAGCCTTCAGACTAGGAGCAAACACCTCATCATAGTCATTTGCTGTCTGATTGAACCCTTGTGCTACTAACCTGGATTTATGGGTAACAGTCCCATCTACACCTGTCTTCAGTTTATATATCCATTTACATCTTATGGCATGTTTACCTGGTGGTAACTTAACATTTTCATATACCTCCAGTCTTTTTAATGATTCCAGTTCCTTATTCATTGCTTTCTACCAAACAGCCTGATCCTTAGCAGAATACAATTTTAGTTCACTATAATTACTTGGAACTGTATTCACATCGCATACAACACTAGCCTGATATCTATCAGGTGGTCGTGTTACTCGGGTTGAACGCCTTGGTAATACAGGGCTTACTGGTGGACTTTCCTGTGCCACTGCTCCTCTTCTACCTCCTCCTGTGCTTATTCTCCTACTTCCTCCTGTTCTTCCTCTTTAATGGCTATTTGTTGTTTACTGATATCATCTTTAGGGACTATTTGGGTGTCAATAATAATATCATTGCTGGATTCCTGTTCCAGTTTATCCCACCCAACATGCTCGAGAAATTTTGCACTAGCACTACAATAAACACGAGCTTTGCCTTGATCCCAGAATCTAAATGATCCCACAAAAAATAACTTCTTAGCTCTATGTTGCCCTTTCAGTCTTACTTGTGAGGGAATATGCACCCATGCTGGAGGTCCAAATGTGTGTAGGTAACTTAAATTTGGTTTTCTGCCATGCCAACGAGTGAATGGCAATTCACCAGTTGTGTTAACTACATTGTTCAAAACATGGTTCACCCCACAGTGTTTCAGGTAAACCTGAATCAGATAACATAGTGCGAGCCATGGCTTGTAATGTTTGCCCTCTTCGTTCTATAAATGACTTATGTTGTGGTCTGTAAGGTGCAGAACGTTTATGCTCAACAACAGCCAATTTTAACATATTTTGGAATCTTTTGTTAACAAATTCAGTTCCATTATCAGTTACTAAAGTAATTACTTTACTTTTCATTTTTCTCTCAGCAAACCTTAGCCAGTTAAAGAAAATTTGGAATGTTTCTGTTTTGTTTTTCTCATCAGATAGCAGAAACCGTATCGTGAGTAATGGTCCATAATACTCAAAATATAACAGGAACCTCCTAAACTTGGTTTCTTAGGACCAATTATGTCAGCAAAAACAACCTCTAAAGGTTCTTTGGTCTTAAACCCATTTAGTCTGTTTGCAGGAGTAACTTTACTCTTTTCTTGACTACAAGCATTACAGTGTAAATACTTGCTACAAGGTTTCAATTTTACTCCCTCTGACAATTCAACAGTTTGTTTGAGCATTTTGAAATTAATGTGCCCTAGACGACTATGCAGTATACATTCATCATGTGGCTTAACATTGTTATAAACTGAGTTAGCCATCTTCAACTGATCATCGTGTATTACATATAAATCATTCTTTAAAGTAGCAGTGACACTTTTACCTTCTTTCTCTATTATACAGTTATCTCCCCTAAAGGTTACTACATAACCAAGATTAACTAAAGCCCTTACTGATAATAAATTAAATTTTAGTTTAGGTACATATAATATAGTTAAATGTTCGTTTATGCAAGAACAATATGCAGTACCTTTACCTGATGCGTTAATCTTCCATCCATTTGCCAATGATACATGTTGTTTACTCGTGGACATCTTTACAAACCTTTTTCTATCTTTAGTAATGCATTGTGATGCTCCACTATCAACAACCCAGAAATCATGGTTTACAGTTGAATTGCTAGACATAGCCAAATTAACATTCTTCTTGGCCTTCTGGTGTTTACCAGTATTCTGTTGTTTTCTCTTCTTACAGAATTTAGCTATATGTCCCCTAGCCCCACAAGAAAAACATTTCCTAACAGTATAGGCCATTGAAGACAAATCCTCTTCTTGTGGTTGTTCCTTCCTCAGTTGGTCTCTTTCTAGCCATCTTCTGGCTTCTTCTAGCAATCTTCCAGTTATTTCAGTCAATGTCAGTTTATCTCTGGGCAGGACTTCCAGTGAAGATACATAACCATTATAACTTTCATCCAATGAGGAAAGAATGATGTAAACTTGA